CTGAAAAAGAGTCTTGATGTGCTAGTCATAATCCTTCTGACCTGGTTTTGCAAAAAAGCATTCAGTCACAGACTGCCTAAATAAAGATAGACATGTGAGTTGGTTGTCCATCTGCTCCTCTAGCTGATACTCTTCACCGAGGCCCCAGAAGAGGAGTGAGAACAGGCAACCGAGAGGTAAGAAAAGGCCACTCAGCCAGGGCTTGATAACCTCTTTAATCTGAAGGGCCATCAACTATGAAGTAAAGAGGTGGAAAGGGAAATTGCTTTATGTTGAGTATCTTCTCTGTACCAGAGCCCTGTTAGGGCATGTTCATACCCATTATTTAATTTAGCCCTCCTACCTGAAAAGTAGGTTACTATTATTTCTATTTGCAAGAGAAGGAAATTGTGGCACAAGAAAGTAAAATGAATCTCCCAGCTAGTTCTAATAGGGAGAGGAGAAAGAAAAGAAATAGGAGACAAAGAGAAAAGGAACAAGACACATACAGATGGATGTGTGAGAAGGGCAGGTTTTGAGAATAAAATTCACCTAAGCCAAAGGAACAGGGCAAAGATGTTAAAGGGCATCAAGAACAGGAAAGACTGGCTCTAACCCACCTCAGCTGTGTGCTAGGGTCTAAATGGTGCCTTTCATTTAAGTTGGCCCACAGATATCACCAAAGATTAAAAAAACTTCCTTCTTCAAAACTCTGGGTGTCAGTGAAGACTGGCAAGTATCTTATGGCAGGTACAGGATAAACAGGAATATTTATTCAACCTTGCCACAAATCCCAGAATCAATTGCTATACTACTGTTCACTACCTGAAGGAAGTATAGAGGACCTGGATTCGGAGGCAGGTGGGTGATAATTCAAGGAAATTTCCAATAAAAGTAATTTGGACTTTTTGGATCACCTTTGACTGAGACCAATGATCAAAAACATTAGAAGTGTCAGAGAAGTGCAAATCAAAATTGTACTGAGATACTGCTTCATATCCACTAGAATGGCTAGAATTTAAAAAGTCAGATAATAATGAGAGCTGGCAAGAATGTGGAGAAATCAGAACCCTTATACACTGCTGGTGGGAATGTAAAATAGTGCAGCCACTTTAGAAAATGGTCTGGCCGTTCCTCAATTAATTAAACATAGTTACCATACGACCCAGAGATTCCACACTTAGGTGGAAAGGAAATGAAAATGAAAACATATATCCCAGAAACTTGTACACAGATGTTCACAGCAGCATTGCTGGTAATAGCCCAAAGATGGAAACAACCCAAATGTCTATCATTTGGTGGATGAAGAAACAAGATGAAGGAGAAAGCACACAATCTAACATTATTAGGCCATAAAAAGAAATGAGGTATCGGTACATGCTACAACATGGATGATTCCTGAAAACATTATACTAAATGAAAGGAAGCCAATCACAAAAGAACATGTATGATTTGATCAGTGTGAAGTGATGAGAATAGTGATACCTATAGGAAAAGAAAATAGATTGGTGGTTTCTTTGTTCTGGGAGACTGGATGAATAGGGAGGCAATAGCTAAAGGGAATGGGATTTCTTTTTTAAATGATATAAATCTGTAATTATGGCGACTGTTGCATATAACTGTGACTATATTAAAAACTACTGTAGTATACACTTTAAAAGAATTATATGTTATGTGAAGGATATCTCAATAAAGCTGTTAATAAGTTTAAAAAAATGAGAAGTAGGATGCAGAGAGAAAAGAAGGCAGCCATTTTAGCTCATGATGCCATCAAAATCTACTGCAGGCTTCTTAGCCACTAGGCCTATGTTGCCATGGAGACTGTCTCAGAGTGGATACTGCTTGTCAAATGGGGATAATAATGCCTGCCCTACATATCTCACAGGATTGCTGTGGGTCTCAAATGAGATAATAGATGTGAAGGCAAATTGAAAAGCAAAAACACACTACACAAAACAAGGGATTATTGTTATTAAGATGGCTCCTGTTGAATATAAAATAGCATGCCTATTATGATTGACTGCAACCATGCCACAAAAATAGGTATATATTCAGAGGGTAATATGCAAAAACAATAAGAATTGTTATGTCAGGGTGGTAGAATTGTGGACATTTAAAGCTACCAGTGTGTCATTTTTCTTTTTGAGAAGAAAAAGATGAAGAAAAGATGAGTCCTTTCAACTAAAATCAGAATAGATAGGTCTGATTGAGGGGCTTACAGCTATATTTATAACCATAAAAGAAAATCAGGAAAAGAATCTCTCTCTCTCTCTCATAACTTTCTCCCCTCATGCCCAAAAATTATTTCCTGAGATAACATTTCAGAGACTGCTTGGGTGACAGCTCTGACCATAACATCCTCTAATCTCGGTAAATGAGAGACTGTTGCTTCTGTCTGGTAGAAAGGTCCAAGAATTCGTTGGAATTGAAATAATGATGTCTCAAATTGTCCTAACTCAGAGCCATCCATGCCCGTGAAACTCTCAGGATGACTTTAACAATTAGCCAATGACTACATGGAATAAAATATCATTTGATCCACAGAACACTCGAATACAATTTTGCTATAATTGAATTGATTTAGAAGACATATAATTTCTGACTAGTTCATAAGATGTTTGCATTTTCAATATTAGTTTGGTTGGTGAAAAAAATAACTCAGTTTGCTGTGGGAGCTCAGTAAGGTGCTGTGACTCACTTCTGATTTTGGGTTTGTAGGCCAGATCAGGGCTACCTTATGACATCCCTGTGTTCTGGGCTCTTTTACTTTTGTGGGCTCCTTCCTCCATTAAAAAATGTTAAAAATTATGTTTATTTATTTTAATTATATCTTATGATTGTATTGGTATAAAGACAAATATGTTTATATTATACGCTAAAACTATTTTTTGACCTAAAAGTTCATCATTTTTCTTCTTATTTGGAAAGAAATTGTAACATGCTTATGGAACCCGGAAAGTACTATGGATCCTAGGCACAGTGCTTACTATGCCTGAAGGAACAGTCGATCCTGGTTGAGCTATCTGGCATAGTATGAAATAGAAGGCACTGAAAGAGGTGTGAGGGCTCCTATAGAGAACCAAATGAGAATGCTCTCAGTCTCAGGCTTCCTCAGACAAGGAGCACAGGTTTGGATCTCAAGAGTAAAATGGCCCTTGCTCAAGGTTCAGCGTTTCCAGAGCAGGAAGAATTTGACACCTGAACTGCAGGATGGGGCTCTGTGTGGAGGCTTCTGGCTCTGGGGCATTCTCCAGACCCCCAAATCACATCACTACCTTCCAACCACTGTAGTAGGGTCAGCAAAGTTCAGGTATTTGAGAAAAGGTGACTCCGTGTCCTCATGTAACATCAGCTCTTGTTGCTATTGAAGAGGAAGTCAGCCATTGGACCTTCTGGGGCTCTCAGGAAATCATGTGGCTTCTTGCTGCTCTTTTTCACTC